CAAACTTCTGGGGTCATATGATATTCAGTTTAAAAAATAATTTATCAAATGCTTGGAACAGTTGGTCGGATCTACAAACATTAATGAAATAATTTGTGAAGCACAAAGCATGTGGATTCGAATGAACTGCATGCAAATTTCTCTCCATTTTACCCAATGATGCAGCTCCAATGAAGGTAGAAAGCTGAAATTAAAAGTCTGAATCATTACAAAGGTCAATTCCTCAATTCGACACACCGCCCCTCACAGTTGTTGTACGTGCAACGGCTTCGAAGGGAACTGAAAAACTTGTTCACTGCCCATCAAACTTGGCGCTTGAGAGTAATCCGAAATTTCGAAATTGTCAGTTTTATCAGTTTCAATTTTGAAATTGTGATTTATCGCAGTTCGTGAAATTGGACTTAACACACAAAACGACAAAACGCGCGACGCTGAAGCACCGAGCAACATGGGGGACCCAGGTTCACTTTTTTTAATCCCCGTCCTAAACCGCTCGTCTTTTACTGATTGATTACAATGAAACATAATAGGAAACTTCGTAATTGCTGTTATGGAGGGAAAAAAGCAAAAGCAAACAAGTATTAATGATGCAAAATCATAATAATTATAATAGCAGTAATGGTAATAATAATAGTAATAATTGAAAGAAAGTAGGATAAAGTGGTGTAAAAACTGAAACTTTGAGAGAAGCTGTTGTGCTTCAAGATGTTCCTGCTCCAGCTTTCGGATGTAAATGGGAAACACCAAGTTGTGGCAGAGCCTTGTCAATATACTGTCACAACCCATCCATGCATTACCAGTGTATGTTAGCTATATATTAAGGTCAACTAAAGATGGACAGGAAAAAAATACATATACATATACTAGAAAAAGAAAAGAAGGGAAAACAAGATAAAGTGTAAAATAAACTAAATAACTGCCACTGCTTCAGTTATGCTGCTAGCGATTCGTGTTACCTGAAGCCAGTTGCCGTATATATAGCGCCTCAACTCGGCATGCTAGAAACTTTCGGAGTGAAATCTCCTAGCAGACAGTCAACGTACTCATCAATTACCATCAAGCCAGAACGCTATGAGCAATTAATTAAACAATAGTAATGGTCTTTAACCTCAAATTTCTCAATACCAGTTTTTCGGGTGTAAGCATGCGGGAAGCGCTTGCTTCAGTGCGCGCACGTACATCGTCATCAAACACCACATCCTACCTGTTGCCATTCCATGCAGCATTACCTTTTTTCGTTTGTTTTTCCCAGCATATTACCACTTTCACGGTTCATTGTCGTGCAAGCCGACGATCGCTGTATTGATGGCATAAATAACAAATTCTTCGTGGAAAGTATACCAGGCAGGTGCATCTGCATGAGATTTTTTAAATAGGCAACGAGCAATTTTTTCTTTTGGCTATCTTTTGACATGCTGTACGATTTCCTCTGACAAAACTGAAGAATTTTAAAGAAATAAACGGTCACATAATTTTTTATGTTTTTTCAGTTGCAAAAAAATTCTAAAGATGACAATTTTCACGCACCTGACTTTGTTGCCCATCTAATTTCAGCTGCGCAACTACAACAGCCAATGTACAAAATCTCAGGTTGTGTATGGAGCCTGCAGTCTAAAATTGACTTCATAATTTCGCAAAGCAAACATCTATTTTTTTTTGTAACTGCAAACCAAACTATTAATGGATGGAAGAGTGAAATATTGTTCTATAAAAACGTATTTCAGAAGAAAAACCACCTCTACCAGTAATTCTGAAAAATCTTGTTGTTGAGCTTTATGACGAGCAAAAGAAGCCATCTTGCTTGAAAAGTGCACCAAACGTTGTATTGCCCGGCTACGCTAAACTTTCACAGGGTAAACTTCTCTTTTTCCAGGCCATATTTTTTTCGTCTTCTAGTACCAATTTATTTATTATGCAACATACACTGTATTTTTCAACATAGTCCCGATCCAGACACTTAATATGGGAGTGACAAAGGAGTAGGCAGTACTAAGGCACGGCGAAATACACCCCTAGCATCTCCAAGCATTTCAAGAAGACACTGCGTCACTTTACGTCCGTTTGAATTTGTCTGGTGCAAAACCAATGTCAGCCTGACTAGCGGTTGGTAGTGCTCTAAAGGTCGAGTAGCTAATTCATACAGAAAGTGGAAATATATACAAAAAAGCCTATTATAGGCACAAAATGAATTAAGAACAAAATTGGACTTTATTTTTTTGCGCATCTTTAAGCCCTGCATATACCTGTTTTGTTATTCCTGTGTTGAATTGGTGCTGAGTAGTGGTTAGGGGCGATAATTTCAGGTCTTCTTTATGTGCCCTTTGGACATCACTTGGCGAACAATACATATGTTAAAATGAGCGCTCGAACTGCCGACAAATCCGATTATTGCGAAAAC